GCTGCTGACAGTGTTGATAACAGCGAAAGTGAGAGCACTAGAGACAGAGGGAGAGAGGGAGACTGTGAAACAGTGATGAGTCCAAAGCTTGCTGTACCAGCACCAGCACCAGCAGCAGCAGCACACTGAGCTTGCTCGGCGATAAAAGAGCACTTGAGATTTGACTGCCTCTTTTCTGAGCCTGAGTCGTAGAAGAGAGACGGTCCTCTCTTCTTTCTCTCTCCGTGAGTTTGTGCCCAGAAGTGAGTCCAAAGCCAAAGCCAAAGCAGGAAAGGCAAAAAAGCTACTACCTACAACAGCACTGGTTTGCATCATTACAGCCAACCCATAGCACCAGCATTCAAAGTTCGAGTGTGCCAAGTGCCTTCTATTTCTCTGCACAACCTGATTACCCTCTATTCAAATACTACTTTCCACCTTTTCTTTTTCGTCTACTTTTCATCATCATCTAACCCGCCCGAATGTGTGGCACTGGTGCAGCCGCTGAGTGCAACAGCCAACAGCCGCAGCAGCAGCAGTACTTCAGTGGTGGAAGTATCAGTAATATCCAAACTGAAGACTCCTACCTCCTCCACCATCCTCACTTCCCCACAATTGCCAGCAGCAGCATGGAGTTGCCTCCATCGTTCAAGGCTGCCAACAGACAGCTGAATCTGTATGCGGCACACCAGAACTACCAGCATCATCCTAGTCAACATCAAGAACCCTCCTCCCTGGACTCCTCCCCCTACTCCGACCTCTCCTCACCGCCCTTCACTCATCACTCTGATCTCTTTGTGAACACTATCAACAACAGCAGTAGTCCACATCATCCTCTGCCACCGCAAACTCCAACCACTCCCTCAACTCCCGGCTCGCAGACGAGCAGCGGTGGTGGTGGCCACTCGCCCAGTCACTCTCCGACGGGCACTTCCGGTCAGCAGCAGCAGCGTAATCCCTTCATTGGTCGTTCCGCCTGTGTCGTCTGTGGTGATCGAGCACGTGGCTGCAACTTTGGCGCCATCACCTGCGCCAGCTGTAAGGAGTTCTTCCGGCGGAATGCATTTAAGATGACTGCTTCGGTGAGTGTTTTTTCTCCTTCAAATAAGAGAAAGTGAACAATTAGTAATTTAAAACATTTTCCCTCTTCCTTCAGAAGCTGAAGTGCTACTTTCAGAACAAGTGCGACATCAACATATACTCACGTCGATTTTGTGCCGCTTGTCGGTAAGTGCTTCAAAAAAATTTTTCTTTTGCAGTAACTCATGGTCACTTTTTCCCTGTCCAGACTGTCCAAGTGCTACCAAATGGGCATGAAGAGCGAGTACATCATGAGCGATGCGGAAAAGTACGAACGACAGCTGAAGATTATGGAGCGCAAGCTGACCAGTCAAAGTCGCCGACTGGCGCTGAACGTCCCTCTGGAGGATGGAGGGCACTTTGAGGCGACGACAGCAGGGACAACAGCAGCAAGCGAGTACAGTGCAGCAAATCCACAAACCAACGATCAACCGATGGATTCGACATTTCAAACAGCCATAAACAGCCATAAACCACTGCATCAACAGCAGCAACAGGGAACTGTGCTGAAAAGAGGTGAGGAGAGCAACCACATACTCAACTCGGAGAGGATAGGACCGACCGGAAACAGCACAGCTCCCTTCCTGCCACTGGCCGCAGTGGAGAACACTCCTCAGCTACCACAGATACAACTTTCAGGTCATCATTCTCACAATACCAATCACCACCATCAGCAGCTCTTCCGCTCCGAATCAGAGTTCAAGTTTTCCTCTTCTGATTNGTGGAGAACACTCCTCAGCTACCACAGATACAACTTTCAGGTCATCATTCTCACAATACCAATCACCACCATCAGCAGCTCTTCCGCTCCGAATCAGAGTTCAAGTTTTCCTCTTCTGATTCCTCCGACCTTCCCACATGGACTTCCTTTGGAGCTCAGAGGGACGGCGGCGTTTCCAATCACCACCTCGACACCTCTTTTGGCGGCTCAGACTGGCTGACCAGCGCAGCGGCGCCCTTTCTCTCCCCTGACCGTGACGCCCCCTTTTCCTGGCAGACAAGCAACAGCTTAACAAATCATCAGACACCACCGCCCCCACCACCACCAGGTCCTTCATCCTCCTCGCTTTTTGAACTGGACGAGCCGGAAAGCGTCAAAAAGCTGCTACGAAAGGTGAAGGTCATCCGCGAGTCAGGCTTCTACCCGACCAAGTTTCAGCTGCTGGTGCGGGCGCACTCCGCGGAGAAGTCACTCAGCCTGAGCGAGCGCTGCCGCCTAAAGTACCTCACCTCGGTGGTGCAGATCATGCAGGCGGAGATCATCACCGACCTGCCCATCAACAGCAAGTGCCTCGACTTGATGCGCATCGCCGAGACGGTCACCTTCTGCTTCATCAAGATGTGCAAGAAGCTCAATGCCTTCCAGGCACTCAGCCCCGAGGACCAGGTCGGCCTGGTGAAGGGGCGGGTGGTGGAGACGCTCATCCTCTGGTCGATGATGACCATCAACCTGGAGAAGGAGTGCTGGGAGGCGCTGGTATGTTGCTTCGATTTTAGGATCATTTTTGTACAACTAAAACCTCTTTCTCTCCCTTTATCGACAGGACCTCGAGCGGAACATCAAATTTTCGCTGAAGATGGAGCTGCTGAAGGAGGCAAACAAGAAGCTGTACGAGGAGCACCGTCGCTTCGCCATGTCCTTTGACCCGGAGTGGCGCTTCAATGACAACCTCATGTCGCTGCTGCTCGCCATCTCACTCTACGACGCCGACAAGTCGGAGCTGAGCAATACACAGGCCATTAGGTAAGTGGTGAAACAGTGCAAGCCATTGCATCTCACCTTTCTCTTCAAACTAAAATTGTTGGATTTTCCATCACTACAGAAACGAGAAGGCCATCTACTGCTCGCT